GCGATTGCTATTAGGTTGGACGCCATTGCTAGTAGGTTGGAGGCCATTGCCGATCACCTCAACCTGAATTCATTTCGCTTCCTTTTTGTCCTGGCAGCCCTAGTGGCCACGGCCCGCTTCGGCCACCCTTCATCGCTTCAGTCTTCGTCACTCACAACGGCTGTCACGATTCGCCCCCTTTGGGGGAGCATCGCAACGGCTCAAAGTGTGGGAGCGCAGCTGTAGGGCAGCTCAGGGCTTGGAACTGGAACTTCATCAGACTTCACAAAAAGAAATCACCACATCGGAAGCCGTCGCATCACACATCATCAAATGATCTTGCATCACTCAACAACAGATCCAAGGGTGTCATCCACATCACAACGCTCCGAAAGTTTAGATGTGTTTGTTCTTTTTTAACTTCCGCCCACCAGCTCTGCCGTAGGATTACCTTGTATAGCAGTATTGACCAACTACCATGTTGAACTGGCAAGGCTAAAACCTGGTAATCAAAGTGGCTGAACGTGAAACCCTTTGAAAAATAGAACATTTGAAATAGAAAAATGTGCGTTTTTAAAACACGTGACGCCCCGTCCCCTCCAGACGAACTCCGTCTCTGGGCAACCGGACGGTCCTACCAACGACCCACTGCGCAGAGCGAGCTTTGCTAGCTCAATGCAGCATTGGTTCAAGCGCTGCTCAGGTGGCAGAGCTTTTGGGGGTCAAAAAAGGCGATGCAGTTGGGTGTGTCTCAGAAAACTCGATCCATCGTGAAAATCATGTTGACTCATATGATTCTGTATGATCATCCCTTGAACTAACTTTCTACGTTGTTGTCCCAAGACATTCAATATTGGCTTTTGTGGCTTTTGTCCAAAACGTTTAATCTTGGCAGGAAAAATGCCTAGACAGCAGCTAGGGTGGTTTGGGGTGCCGTGGATTCCAAATAAGGCCCGTGTCCAAACAAACCAGGGTGGCCCGATTTCGAGACAAACCCATTTCCAGCGTTGCAGATCGGAAGGCAACTCTGAAGGGTGGGGAAAGAGTGTTTCGAGCCCGAATTTGCTAGAGTCGCAAGGTTCTTGAACTAAACTCAGTAAGAACATCTTTTTAGGACCAAAGCCAGTGGTTGGCCATCCTGGCCATCCTGGCAGGCTGGAATTCAAAGGCTGGTCACCTTGGTTCCGGATACTCTTGTGATCCATTCCCAAGACGTCTCACACAAAAAAATTGTTGCATGACTATTCCAGAGCCCGTTGGCTACAGGAAGCCCATGGCAAGCGCGCCCACCAAAAGGGGCACGGTAGCAGAGCTGGCCGTCCTCGGCTCCAGACACAGAAAACCGACGAACATACAGAAGAAAACATCGGAAGTACTCAGGAGGTCTTCTGAGAACTCCTAAAAATCGAAGCAGGTATCAAACCATGCACTCCAACCTAATAGCAATGGCCTCCAGCCTAGAAGCAATGGCCTCCAACCTAAGAGCGATGGCCTCCAACCTACTAGCGATGGCCTCCAACCTAGTTATGGTTGGAGGTATCAAACCATATGAAACCCACACATCTTCAACCACTCCATCCATCACTCGGCCTATTTCACTTGTAGATATATAGTTCCCCTCGTCAGCGAACACCGAATGGGATAGCATAGCAAACCCGCGTAGAACAAAGAGAACATATCTGGAATGACGAAAACCGGCCACTGATCAAAGCCTTCCGAGGCGGAAAAGAATCCAAAATAAAGGAACGCACCAGTGTCCTTGGTAGGTCATTGCCCTTCGGAGGTGTTGACCAATCGAAATCCGACACAACGAGACGTCTCGGTGTTTAGGTGGCTCCAGTGCAAGTCTGTTAGTGATTCTGATTCCCCTTTGAGCAATGGACCACTAAGCCATCCTCAAGTAGAACTATGTGCAATATGGAGCAATTGGAGGTACTACTGCAGATGAGAGGTCGCAATAGAAAAGGACCATCTGATTGAAATGCTCCATATCCTACGGTGTCTGGATGACCATGGAAACTAGAGCACCTTGAGAACATCGTTCAAATTGGTCATGCGGAAATCTGCAACTGGACCAATCGACCAACAGGAAGTCAGGAAGACCTTCTAGTACTGCAGTTCCGATGACAATGAATAGATGTCTACTTATACTTTCAATTCACTCAGCATCCGAGCTGCGACAGCTCCTCTGTTTGGCCGCAGACGAAAGGCTCCGTGCTGTCCGAGAGCCCTGGCACGGCAAGCAATTCGCTGGTGTGATGGTACATACACCTGACCACGTACCGACACACGCCTTGGGTGTGAATCATGTACATGTTGTAACATACTATAAATAATATACAGTAACCAAACCAAATCTGGCCCAAGATGAAGCCGCAGTTGGACTGCCAAATCCCCGTGTAACACTGGTGTTTTAAGACAGTGAGCTGGTCACTGTCAACTGACGGCTTGAAGCCACATCTTCCAAAACCGACCATTTGCTGTTGTTACATCAGCCGGGTCATGTGTGTGTGTGTGTGTGTGTGTCTTGACTTTCCAGAATACCAAAGCAAGAGCATAGGAACTGATGCACAAAGGGCGGTCTGATGATGGTTTTTCCGCCGACATCCTGGGTTCGCTGGGTTGAGAAGCTTCCTGGTTTAGTGTCTCTGGATTTCACTGTGTCTCCAAAAACCCAATGTTGAATCATCATTCGGGCATCAAAATGCCACAAGGCACAGGACCTCTTTTGAGGTCCAAAAGGTACGAATGGGATAACATACACTGCCGGGGCGCTCTTGTAAAAAATGTTTGCCATGCCACTCTTGTGCTAACACTCTTGTGCAATACTGTCGTTTGACACTCTTGCGAGAAACTCTTGCAGGGCACTCTTGTCACTCTTGTGCCACACCACACTTGTATGATTGTAGGACGCTCTTGTTTGACCTTCTTGTAAGGTTGTAAGACAGTCTTGTGTGTAAATCTTGTGGGATATTGGGCAAAACTGCAAAAAGAACGCATCACATGTGCAACACATGTGCACAATCAACGTCCGAATCTTCCGGTTCGAGCTGCACCCCATGCGATGTTTGGACTTGAGAGGAGGGAGACACGAAAGGGACAGCGGGAAGAGAAGAGAACGCGAGAGGCAGGAACAAAAATGCAATGTTCGACATGGTGATTTATCCCCTCGGAGGCGACCTTTCGTAAATATATGTTCATATGCTCTCGAAATGTTCAAAAAGATTCTTAGGAAAACAAACTTGCCCCATGGCTCAGATCATCGGTGAGCATTGAATCGGAGCATCATAGGATTTGAACTATCCTGAAACCATAAGAGGCTCACGAAGACGCTCCCCAGGAGAGAATTGATGTGCTTCACAAAACAAACTCTAGGTATGTATCCCCTCAGGGAACACCTTTCGTGATTAGAATTCCATATGCACTCTTTCTGAATGTTCAAGAGGGTTTCAACTATCCTGAAATCACGAGAGGCTCACGAAGACGTTCTCCAGGAGAGAATTGAATTTAGAGGGGGGGTCTGTATGGAAAAATCAATTCCAAGGGGGCGGGGGGGGGGGGGTGGATTGAGAAATCAAATCGGGGGGGGGGGTTGAATGATCAATTATTAGACCCGGACGTCCCAACACTTGCTTCGCAAGACAAACTCAAGGTATCCCCTAAAGGGCTACCTTTCGTGACATGTTCTTTCGAACAGTTCAATAAGCGAGGTACGGACCAAACATTGTCAATACACTGTGATCGCAGAAACCACACCTGGTAGGCCTACCAGGCCTACCAGGCCTGTCTGTTTCCGTGGGTCCCAGAGTCCCGGGCTTTTCACCTTGGAGGTCTCACACTGTCATGGTGGGTCCTTTCGGATCACCTCCATCCACAGTCTTCACCGCTGTCCAAATACTCCCCCTCTCTGTACCCGGCTGCGGGTTCCGTAGTGAATCTCAGTGTGGAAGCCACAGATCTCTATCTCCGAGCTTGACATTCTGGATAGATATGAGTCGAGGCAAACAGGGTCCACTTGGTTTGGGGTTTTTACACTGGGTTTTTACACTGTTCTTGGGGTCCCTCACATAGGATATTGCAAATGGCATGATCACGTTGAGTCCACGGCTGATCTTGCTGTGTCCTACAAATGCCTTGTAGACGTTTCACTTGTCATTGTACTCCACCCACTCCTATCCTTCTAAGATGCTCACTCACTTCAGCTTTCTGAACGAAGTGTCAAGCCATGTTGGACATGTTCGAAAACGAGAGCCCGACAGTTCGCTCCAAGTCACGCGCAGAAGTATGAATGGCCAGCAAATCCCCTTCACGCACCTTGGTGTTTGGTGGGCCAGGATCCCATTTCAGAGTCAAATAGCCCACAAAAGGGAAAGAAGAAGGGTGCTCTCATGCGCTCGCCATAAAGCTCAAGGAAACTTCTTTGGGGCTCTGCTCCGGTAGAGGCAGGCGTTCTTTCTACTAATCCACTATAGATGGTACACACAGTGAGGCCTCGCATTTCCTCTGAAACTCCATCCCTTAAGCCGATCTAAAACTCGATGGAAAACCCTTTCAGAAAGGTGAGTATCTCAGGGACAGTTGGACAGTTGCCACATATCTCCGTCTGTAGATGTCCTTTCCCTTTTCGATCCTGTCAGTCCCAAACCTAAGATACGCTCCGTGGTCCTCCATGAAACAATCATGTGACATAATCGTGGGACTGTTTCACTTTAACTAGGAGCAAGGACGCTACTAGGGGCTCCTGGCATCGCTACTAGGAACAAGAAGCTACTAGGGGCTCCTGGCCTTACTACTAGGAGCAAGGACGTTACTAGGGGGGTTCCATGAAATCATCCTTCACCACTGGGCCGTCGAAGCCAAGGAACTACGCCAGTCAGCACCTGGTGGCATTCGCCGATGTGTTTTGGCAAAAGGAGAAGATTTAAAAATGTAACATACTGCATACTAGCCAGAATAGCCACCGAGATGAGGGCTTCCTCTTCCCAACAAGGTGCCGCAGTTGGTTCAAGGATTTTGGAATTAAAAACAGCAAAAACAAACTCAAGTCTTGTTGTAATAATTCTCAGTCATTCTTTCGTCGCATCCAAGCCGCAAAAGTACAGACCTGGAAGATGTCAGCTGGATCATTATGGAGGATAATTTTGGAGGTCCTTTTTCTGAGGTCACTTTCACGGGCGGACAATCTGAATCTGGGCCCCAGACCACACCATCCGCATCAATGGACACTTCACGCGGGCAGCGCCTTCCAGGAAAGGAGAGTTTGGGGAAAACAAACTGAGAGTGCTATTCAAAACAAAAAAGAAAACATCCACTTTGGTTTTGTGAGTTTCGGAATATAGTTAGTTTCACCAGCGTGGTTTTTAGGAGGCAAGGACTTGAGAGCATGCGGCTTCAGAGCATGTGGGGCTCAAACTTGTAGCCCTTTACCTCCAACAACATCCTCCCACTCTCTATATAAAACACTCAGATCACAAAACCCTCCAAAAAGCGGGCAATCCCTCCCCCAACATCACCCTTTTTCGGCCAACCCGCTGAAATCTCATGCTCCAGAACTCGCGACCAACCTGCGACAGAACCGCGAGGTCTCGAAGAAGGCGCCTCCGATCCCAACACTTTTGAGTGCTCAAGGAGGCCAAGTCGCAGTAGCGCCCGGGCGGCAAGCCCGTCGCCATCCCTGCGCCAGCTGGACCCGGCGGACCCGGCGCGGACATGGACATCGCCAAGTCCCAAACGGCGCGAATCACTCAAAAGGACCTTGTTCCGTAGTCTCCACAACTATCAACAATCAAGCTGGCTATTCAATTCCAGACTATGTTTGACTGATCACTTTCTAGGAACAATCGCCAAAACAGCCAACGAAGCAGTTAGCCCCTGAATGACGCCGAACAAACGAAGACGTCATCTCTCACCCTAGACCTGGCAACCTGGCTCGAACCAGGCCAGCGAGTCACGAGTTTTTGTTACTAGTAGCGATGCACTTGTTTCTAATAGTTTCTTGTTACTACTAGTAAGGCACTTGTTACTAGTAGCGACGTAAAGAGTCCCCTGCCTGTTGTTTTTACCACCCAGGCCATCCCCACCATCTGCAAGTCGTGTTCTCTATCGCATTCCATCCACAGCTGGCACAGCTCATTGGGAAGTTCCAGTCCATTCGTGTTCAATGGGAACTGCCGCGGTTGATCCACTGGCCTTTCTGCTTCTTTCATACGTCCATGTTCTCGCCCATTGGTCTTCTTTCCAAAAAAAGGTCGAGGTTCTCCCAAAAAGCATCACCAAAACACAAAAAGGCGATCACCACCTGCCATGCCGTGCCTCGCCTGCAAGGCGCCAATCGCCCAAGTGACCCCAGGGCCCAGGCCACCGAGTGTTGAACCCCCGCACCTGAGATGACGCAAAAATGATGCGCTGAGTTCGTTCTGAGCTGGTTCAGCTGGACAGGATGAAGGTTGATTTTGTGCAGAAAAGGTGTGAGGGGTTTCACTGGCGTGAGGCTTAGTTCAGCTACAAAAAGTTGCATTTGAGCTCGACTCTTGCTCTATGTCGGAGACTGACTTGGTCTTGGCCGAGCTTTGGGCCTTTGAGCCGTGCTCAGCTTTTCACCCGAGCGAGCAGTCGTGGGCTCTCAGGCCGTCAAGTTCCGAACGAACTAGTCTAGCGATCGGTGCTGCTGGAGTCCATACGGTGTTTGATGTCCCAGACGGCAAGTGTGCTCTCCACGTCGCAAAAGTCCCTACTGCCTACTGTACTCCTTTTTGGTCATTCCAAGAACATGCAAGAACCACCACTTTCCAGCCACAATCCGTTCTCGGCACGTGCTTCTTCTCAGGTTTTGCTGCTGCGTCGGGGTTCCTTCCACGGCACGAGCGCGGCGAAGCATTGCTGTTGACCCTGGGTGGCTCTCCACGCGTATTGTCCCAACGAGGCAGAGCCATCGCTGGAAGACCAGATGCTGGTGATCGGCAAGCCGCGGCAGGCCTGATGAGAGTCAGCGTATTTGGAGAGTCAGCGTATTTGGGCCACTGACGGACAAATGGTGAAGCCTTTCGAAGAATAGGGCATCCAAAAAAAGACCGTGTTTTGGATGCTAGAATTGTTCCATCAAGTGTCTCACGCAGAAAAATGCACGGTGAAAACCGAACAGATCCGAACAGCCTCATCTCCCAAATGTGGCCCACTGCTTCGGATTTATTCTTGAGGAAAACATGGGACAAAACGCCCCAGAAAAAGGGCTGGGTAGGTCAACTGACTGGGTAGGACCCAAGGCTAGAAAAGCAAGTCAACCCAGTTGCCGTACAACCAAGCACGGTCACCAAATCCCGGACCGTGCGGCATGCTTCGCTCTCCGTCGCCTGACGGAAGTTGATCAGCCCTGCGATGCCCTCCCAGCGGTGCTCGCAGATCCAGCCCTCATATTCCTTCTCCTGGTGCAGCTGGCGCAGTTGGGATGCCAGGGGAGCTGTGCAGCTCGCGCAGTGGTGCTTACAGCAAGACCCCCCTAAACCCTAGTGGCCGTGTATATGTGCATAGGCTAGGTGTTGCGATTCCCCATGGCCGTTTTGGCAGTTTTTCCGCACGACTTGCCCCGGGACCGCTGTACCTCTTCGGAGAGCGGCGAGTTCTGTGGAGTTGGCATACACCTGGCCGCGGCGAGGCGCAAGACGAGATGCCACGGGTATCTCCAAGCGAGAGATCGTTCGAAAAGAAGTCGTCTGGACCACTGGTGCTTCTTCTGCCCTTCCAGAACTTTTGGAGTTCTATGAGGAGCAGATCTGGACGATTCCTTCGTGATATTCATTCAGAGTCGGCTTTGTAACATCTATTCAGTCACACTAGCAAAAAAGACTTTCTCTTGGAGCAAGGACGCTACTAGGGGCTCCTGGCCTTACTATTTGGAACAAGAAACTAGGAGCAGAAACAAAAAACCATTCAACATCTGGAAACCAATACCTGGGTTTGGCGAACGGGGACGAACTTACTTGAAGGTGTACCCAGCATCTCCGGGGCATGTTGGTCTTCTGGCTAAGTGGCCAATGGGAAGTTCTCCGAACTTGGCTCTGCCTCCCTCAACAACTGGCTCTTCACCTATGTCTGTATTGCCACCACCGAACTTCAAGATTGGCCCCATGTCCCGTCACCTCCGAACCATTGGCACTCCTTCTCCATGAATTCCTTAGCACGACAACCTAGTCCATCCTCTGCTCATAAGCTCTTTCCTCCGCCCTGCCAGCGTGCAGAGCTATCTGCTGCTCCCCAGCACCACCCATTTCGAAATCGAAGTGGACCTGGGCTCTTCGTCTTCGAAGAGGTAGACCGGGAAGGGCTGACACCTGGCCATCACTCGGCATGGAACCCTCACAGGGCAAGCTTGCCCGTTTTGCAGCTTTGCGGCCTTTCCATGGCGGCGGCCATGGGTCAAATTCATGAAGACATGAACCCCATTGAGTCGAGAAAAAGATCTTCAGAATCGGGGAAGACACGTGTCACTTATATACTTAAATAAGGGCGACATCTACTCCACCGACATGCATCTACACTGCTCTTTTGAGTGGTGTGTGGTGGGTTCATCCTCTCGATCACCAGACTCCGCAAGCAGTTTAACCAGAACTTGCCTTCCGTGGCGAGTTCTTGCATGTGTTCAAAACCTCCAGCTCGTACGTGTGCAGTGTGCAGTGTACTTTCTGATGCCAAGTTGATCAGACAACCTCCGCGCCTGCCGTTGCCACACTCCCCGGGAGGTCCGGCGTCCATGTTCGTGAACGTGTAGCCGCCCCAAAGCCGAACAGCCATGCCCTTGGGCCAGGCCTGAAGCGTGGAATGCGAAAGAAGGTGGAGAGATGGGGCCGCCTTCTTTTCGCTGGTCGCCCAGCTAATCAATTCGGAGAACTGCAAGGATGGGTGTGATCCTCAAATGCCGGAAAGTGCTCTGTGAGTGCTTCGATATCCCACAATGCATGTATATTACATGCATCTTTGTCTTTATATGATGCAAAATAAATGGTCCTGTCAACCGAACTGCAAACCACATCATGACAAAGGTTGCAGAAGATTCATCTCAGAAATGCACGGTTTTGGCGGTCCACGCTCAAAATACCTCACCCCTCACACGCCACATCGTGCCCCGCGCCAGCAGGAACTTCTGCTGCTGGTGGAACTCTAAGCCATTCATAAAGGTGGGAATGAAGCGGTCCGCCTCCCATGTCCTTCCGGCGTCAGTGGGGCCGGTCGGTGTTTGGGAATGTGGTTTGGAGGGCCCAACTGTCGGTCGTTGGATGGGAGGAGGGAAGAGCCGGGAAGAGCAAGCGCTTTGGCACGATTCGTATTGCAGGTTGGACATTGGGGAACTGTGCCCTGTACTTCCAGGAAGAAGAGAAGTGTTGAGATGCCTTGCTTTGGAGTGTTTCCCCCTAGGCAGGAATGGAAATGTTTGAAGAGGAACCGTGTACATGCGCTGTCTCTGGCTGTCAGAGCCACTAGTGTTTCACATGCACAAGACGTGTTCTCAAACGATGCCAGAAAGTGCTTGAGGTACCTTTTTGTTGGTCAAACCTTGGGGCAACCGGTTCGTGTTGGGTATGGCGAATTCAGCGCCGCATGCGGCCCCGCATGCGGACGCCGACAGCTAAGGCCGCAGGTGCCACAAATTGCCACAAGGTCGGCCACAAATCCAACGTATTCGGTCGGGATGTCTTGGACTTCGAGAAAAAGAATCCGGCAACATGTGGTGAGACTCCAACTTGACACTTTGAGGCAAGGTCTTGGATTGTTGGTGCTCAAGCTCTTGGGGTGGCATAACACCCAGTCCCTGTGTGTGTAAGACTGCCAGCTCCTGGTAGTAAGGGCAATGCAAAGTTTACCATGTGCCCGTTACCAGGTTTGACAAACAGATTTGGATAAAGGACGCCTCCAAAATGCGCGAACCAGATGTCCCAACACGGCAAGTAAGAAACCCAACAAGCAGGATGGTACACGGCACACCCATTCCAAGAATGCCCCTCCACCAATACCAACCCGAGCGAAATGGCCTGAGCAAAATCCGTGCCTGGAGGGTTCAAACTAATTCGCCACAACAAGATGTCTACCCACCTTCACATGATTGTCCAGCTTAACTGCTCAAATATTTGTTAGTAGGTTGGAGGCCATTGCTATTATTAGGTTGGAGGCCATCGTTCTTAGGTTGGAGGCTATCGTTTTCCTTGTTCCGTCGTGTGAGATCGAGGTCAACTGCGTCACCCAGGTGTGTTCGCATCTCTCCTGGCGTCATGGAAGGTCAAAGGATAGACAGCGCGCTCGGAAGGGATGCCCTCCAAACCTGTTGAGATGTTCAACATCTCCGACAAATAGTTCCTCAGCGAAAACTTGGACGCTTGGCTTTCGGACATCTACGTTCGGTTAGTAACAAGTGCCTTACTAGTAGTAACAAGAAGCTAGTAGAAACAAGTGCCACGCTTCTAGTAACAAGTGCCTTACTAGTAGTAACGGACGTGCATCGGATTTCCTTGAGCTCCGGCTGTCGCTCTTCGCTCGCAGCTTGGATGTTGAGCATTGGACCAGGACCAGGGTAATAGCTTCTTGTTACTACTAGAAGCGATGCACTTGTTACTAGAAGTGATGCACTTGTTCCTAGTAGCGTGGCACTTGTTTCTAATATTTTAGGCACGGTCCGGGGAGACCCCCAAACACAGAGCCTTGAAAAAGAGGGTGGTCGTATTTGTAAAGCAAATTTCTACAGGAGGAACCTGACGTGGCCTTTCCCATTCGTTCGCGGAAGTCATCTCAAGGCCGAGCGAAGAAACTTGGAAGTTGTTGGTGGCTCTGCGCCGCGGACCAAGTCAAAGCGTCAGACCAAATCGAATACCCAATGAAATCACAGATGGAGCAAACGTGGACTCCGGGAGCAAACGAGAGTCAGCCCTTCTCCTCTTTGTGAAAGAACTGCGTTCGTCCTTGGACGATCCTCTCGCCCCATGTTCTCCAGAAAAGCTTGGTACATCTCGTGGTGTTCCGAAGAGTCGTTGTGTTCAAGAAACCTAGTAGCTTATTGTTTCTACTAGCTTCTTGTGTTACTAGTAGCGTGGCACTTGTTACTAGTAGCCTGTGTTCAAGAAATAATTAGCAGAACCTGTCCGACCTGTCCTTCCAGGATTTCTTCTGGATGTTGCAAAGCAATTTGGGCACGATCATGGCAATCATCACCGTCCATGGCGATCATCACCGTCCATGGCGATCATCACCGTCCAAGGATCACATCGCCAACTGCCAAAGCGTTGGTGATCCTTGGGGGTCAAAGCTTGGGCGACTTATTCCAGTCAAAAAGCTCACGGAGATCGACATTGAGAAGTGGAAAACATCCTGCTAAGGGAAGCTCGTTTTCCTAAGGGTCATTCTCCGTTTTCATGCTTGATTTTTGGGCATGAACACCCCGTACTATGGGTCTCCGAAATGCTGGGCATTAACACCGATGCGGGGGTTGACCAAAGGCCCCGGAACCTTCCCTGTTCGGGGAACCAGGAACGATGTGGAATCACTTTCTTGATTTTTCTTGGCCTTCTTTTTTCAGTGAATCCCTGTGGGACAACGCTCCCCATTGCCCCTGATTCCGAAAAACTCCATGTTGAATGGCTCCAGAAATGTGCAAAGCCAAACAAACTGCTGCATTAGATGGTTGCAAAAACATGCCAAAAATAAACAAATGAACCACCAAAAGAATCCCAAAAATATGCCGTGTTCGAGGCCGGAGAAATCATGGAAGGATCGCGGGCCGCCCACTGACCAAGAGACGCATCCAATTGATAGAACGTCTTATCGTCAGGTCCTTTTGCTTTCTAGAATGCAGCAAGACAAATCCTGTAAGAGAGTTCCTGAGACATGGATTTCCGCATGTACTGATATCTGCTCAGTGATCTGCTCATGTATCTGTGTCCATTTCTGCTCGAAAAGTGGGTTCCCACTCGGGCGATCTGGTTCTCCCCCAAGCCAGGCAGCTTTAAACCATACTTCTGATCTCGGTAGTGCCCAACCGCCTCGCTGCGTTCCGGCGCCGGGATGCCGCCCCACCACTCTTGGTGCCTGGGCGTGGCCATGGCCGGCATGGCCCACCATGGCCCAAGCCGGTTCTGTCACGTCTTTCCAGTTTGACATGAAGTTGGTAGGGGTGTAAGATGTAAGTTGGTACACCTGTGTACCACAGATCGACTCATGGTTTGCTTCGAAGCGGTTCTTTCAGGTTTGCTTTTGTCCCTGGGGTATGTTCTCTCAGGGTCTGATTCTCATGATTTGCAGTTGTTGCCACCGGGTCAGAAACCGAACGTGTAGTGGTGTTCAGTTAACGAATTTGTTGAATTCCTAATGTTGATTTTCCGACACAGTGGCCATTTGATGAGAAATGGGCCGGGGATGATTTTGTTCGATGTCTATTTTTTCCGTCATCTCGACATGTCATGAACCCCTCTGCGGACGCTGGGGCTGCGACCTTCAGTGGATGCATTTAATTTTGGTAGTGGCCGTGCGCGACGCGCGAGAATCCTTTTGCAGTTTGCGCTAAAGAACTTTCAACATGACTCTGACCCTCAGCCGTGCACCAAACAAAAAAACTCAAAAACCAATACTGTTATATAATGGGTGTCTTCTGTTTTCAACCTCCCACAACCTCAAACATATGGAAACTTACATCATTCAGTCACTTCACTCTGTTGTGAAATGCATGTGACGGTGCGTTCGGCTTGCGACCTGAGGGGTAGTTTATGACCACCGAGGGGTGGTCTGGTTGGCGACTGCTCTGCCGAAAAATGCCAGCCAGCTTTGGCCTGGGCGGCCATTCTCTCATTTGTGACTGAGCAATGTGAGTATGCCTCAAAATACGAAAGGCCCCAAGATGACGAACACATTTGTTGTTGTACAAAAAATCTGTGTATATATATTATATATACATATAAAGACAAAAATGTTTCCTTCAAAGGATAACTATGTACATGTATGAACCCGGTTGGTTGGACCGAAAAAAACCAACACTACAACTACAACCTGCCACCTTTGCAGCTACAGTGTCAGCCCGTGTCGGCTGTGTCTTACTAAATAAAACGCAGCGGACCAGACCACTGATACTTGTTGTTAGTCTACTAACCCATTGACTATACCTACAAGTCAACAAGCTAGTGTTTTCACAATCTACCTTAAGATTAACTGTCTATATCGCATCTGTCACGTTCTGTTTTGGTGCATCTGCCGAGCAGCACCACGTCCCACGGCAGCTGATTGATGATCCTCAGCCGTGGAGAAGTTTTGCGGACAGAGATGCCGTATGCCTGTTTGAGGAAAGTTTCACCAAGTGAGGCCTGTCATAGCTTGCTGTTTATGCATCGGTTGGGCCAACAATTGGCGAAGGAGCACGGCACAGAACCTTGCAAACTCCACAACCGAACCAGTGGTGCCTTACTAGTAGTAACAAGAAGCTAGTAGTAACAAGTGCCACCCTAGTAGTAACAGGTGCCTTACTAGTAGTAACAAGAAGCTAGTAGTAACAAGTGCCACGCTAGTAGTAACAGGTGC